CCAAGGTTGCCTTAAAAATCCCATAAAATGTAAGGTGTAATTCTCTCTATTAATATTGTAACTGGGATATGAGTGCTAGCAGGGTAGACGGTTTTGTGCAGTGCACAGTGTGCCACATGTATGCAACAATGGAGCAACAGCTTCAGGATGGACCCCACTGCGACAGATGTGAGAGGGTTTCCCTTCTGGAAACTCGCGTTAGAGATCTGGAGGAGCAAGTTGCAACACTGGGCAGAACCGACAACCTTGAAAGGGGTTTTCTACTCTCTGAGCAGGTAGCTAATGGGATTAATGTGGAGGGGCTAATCAGGATTATCAGGTAGGAAGATGGGTTACCTTTAAGGAGAGGGAGTGGTAGGGGCTCACAGAAAAGGAAGGCTGGCCCTGGGTTTGAGCACCCAAACAGATTTGCCAAGTTGGGTGAAGATGTGGGGGTGGCAAGCTCAGGGGTGGCAGCTCTGGATGTCACTGCTATCCCTAACAGTCGAGAGGGCAGACCATGGGAGGGGTGGTGAGGGTAGTGTATAAAGGTCTAGACAGTTGGTGGTAGTAGGGGATTCAATAATCAGAAGGACTGATAGAATAATTTGTCGCCAGGATCTCCTCAACGGAATGGTTTGCTGTCTCCATGGTGCCAGGGTTCGGCATGTGGTGGACCGGGTTGATAAATTACTGGGAGGGGCTGGGCATGATCCAGTTGTCTTGGTCCAAGTTGGAACCAATAACAGAATTATATGGAAGGTGGAGGCTCCTTAAGAACCAATATAAAGAACTAGGCTGCAAGTTGAAGGGAAGGACCTCTAAGGTGATATTGTCTGAAATATTACCTGTGCCATGCACAACTCAGGAAAGACAGGGGGAGATTAGGGAACTCAATGCATAAAGACCTGGTGTAAGAGGGAAGGATTTGGGTTTCTAGAGCACTGGGATGACTTTTCATTGGGGTGCAACCTATATGCTAGATATGGTTTGCACCTAAATGGAAGGGGGTCTCCTGTGCTGGGGGAGAGTTTTATGAGAAGGCTGGAGAAGTATTTAAACTAGGATCGGGGGGGGAGGGAGAATTACCGTATTTTTCGCTCCATAAGACGCACTTTTTTCCCCCAAAAAAAGGGGGGAAAATGTCAGTGCGTCTTATGGAGCAAATATAAAGCGGCCGGTCCGGTATTTCTGCCGCCACCATGTCAAAACACCGGGCCGGCCGCTCAGCTGTTCTCTCCTGCAGGGCCTTACCTGTTCCTTGCTCCAGCGCTGCACAGTCTTCCTGCGCTGGCTTCTGTGACAGCCGGGTGCCCACTGCGCATGTGCTGCGCTTTGTGAATGATCCGGTGTCTTCTGGGACACATGACAGGTCCCAGAAGGCGCTGGGCCATTCACAAAGCGTAGCACTTCTTGCGCATGCGCAGTGGGCACCCGGCTGTCACAGAAGCCGGCCCGGGAAGAAGAGGGAAGGACAGCTCCACGGAAGTGGGAGAGGGGTACCTGTCAAATTCAGGTACCCGCTCCCCCTCCCTCCCCAAAGGTCAGCAGTCTCTGGTCATTCCCTGCACTGTCTGCAGTCTCTGGTCATTCCCTGCACTGTCTGCAGTCTCTGGTCATTCCCTGCACTGTCTGCAGTCTCTGGTCATCCCCTGTACTGTCTGCAGTCTCTGGTCATTCCCTGCACTGTCTGCAGTCTCTGGTCATCCCCTGCACTGTCTGCAGTCTCTTGTCATCCCCTGCACTGTCTGCAGTCTCTGGTCATCCCCTGCACTTGTCTGCAGTCTCTGGTCATTCCCTGCACTGTCTGCAGTCTCTGGTCATCTCCTGCACTGTGTCCGCAGTCTCTGGTCATCTCCTGTACTGTGTTTGCAGTCTCTGGTCATCTCCTGTACTGTGTCCGCAGTCTCTGGTCATCCCCTGTACTGTGTCCGCAGTCTCTGGTCATCTCCTGTACTGTGTCCGCAGTCTCTGGTCATCTCCTGTACTGTGTCCGCAGTCTCTGGTCATCTCCTGTACTGTGTCCGCAGTCTCTGGTCATCTCCTGTACTGTGTCCGCAGTCTCTGGTCATCTCCTGTACTGTGTCCGCAGTCTCTGGTCATCTCCTGTACTGTGTTCGCAGTCTCTGGTCATCTCCTGTAGTGTGTCCGCAGTCTCTGGTCATCCCCTGTACTGTGTCTGCAGTCTCTGGTCATCCCCGGTACTGTGTCCGCAGTCTCTGATCATCTCCTGTACTGTGTCCGCAGTCTCTGGTCATCTCCTGTACTATGTCTGCAGTCCATTGGTTCAGAATATTTTTTTTTCTTGTTTTTCGCCTCTAAAACCTAGGTGCGTCTTATGGTCAGGTGCGTCTTATGGAGCGAAAAATACGGTAGATTATAACGGGGTAGACAGATCAGACCGGTTAGTCCTTTTTGGTGGGTGGAATGGGGAAAGATGGGGGACGGCTATGGAAGATGATAAGAAGGTTCCCATGTTACAAACAACCAGTGGAATTGATACCAGTAAATATAATAAAGTACAGCTCATGTGAGAATATATAAATCAGTAAAGTTCAACGGCTGGTACCAGCAGTGGTTTCCTATGAAGCAGTTATCCCAATAGAGTTGTGACTGGAATCAAAATAACAGAAGTGCGCACTCACCGGAAGCGCATGGAAAATGCGCATATAGGAATAATACTCCTAGGTAGTAATCTGTAGTAGGCAGGTGGTGGGCATCCTTCTGAGATCTGGTCAACAAGCCTGGATTTAGTGGGAGATACTGCTGGGTCCAGAGGTCCCCTTAAGGGTGGATGGGCGCTCAGCCTGCATACAGGGCTCCCTCTCTGGATACTGGAAGAGGGAGCCCTGTATGCAGGCTGAGTGCCCATTCACCCTTAAGGGGACCTCTGGACCCAGCAGTATCTCACACTAAATCCAGGCTTGTTGACCAGATCTCAGAAGGATGCTCACCACCTGCTTACTACAGAATACTACCTAGGAGTATTATTCCTATGTGCGCATTTTCCATGCGCTTCCAGTGAGTGCGCACTTCTGCTATTTTGATTCCAGTCACAACTTTATTGGGATAACTGCTTCATAGGAAACCACTGCTGGTGCCACCCATTGAACTTTACTGATTTATATATTCTCACACGAGCTTTCTACTTCATTATCTATTTTATTTATCCATTGAGCGCTGCACTTTATTATATTTACTGTTACTACAAAGGTTACTGTGGTTACCTTAAGTGTCTCAGCCGCTATTTTCAAAGAGCGCTCACTATATCTTGCTTTCTATTTTTCAGTGGAATTGGTACCATTTGTATGAAAATAAAAAATATGCAAAATACGTATGCACAAGGTGTCAATTCATTAAAGTGTTTGTTCACCAATGCCAGAAGTCTGCCAAGCAAAATAGGCAGGTTGGAAGCTTTGGTGCATGAACAGAACTATGATTTAATTGGTATTGCTGAATCTTGGCTTCATTCTTCACATGACTGGGCCATTAATATTCCTGGCTATGTTCTCTTTCAGAGAGACAGGGTAAATAGGAAAGGCGGTGGGGTCTTTCTCTATGTGAGAAGTGATCATTGGAGTTTGTTATAGACCTCCCAGTGTTAATGAGCTGGACACTCAACTCTTTGCACAGATCTAAAGGGCTGCAAGGGCTGGGATAGTGATAATAATGGGGGATATTAACTACCCAGAAATTGACTGGAGTAATGGTACTGCAGAAATAATTAAAGGGCAAACATTTTAAAAACCTACTACAGGACAATTTTATGGTATAGTTCATAGAGGCCCCAACTAGGAATGATGCTCTGCTGGACCTGGTAATCTCAAACCATGCAGAGCTCATTACGAATGTCCATATAAAAAACATCTGGGCAGCAGTGACCATAACATGATTTCATTTATTGTTAGCTGTAAACAGCGAGCACATACGGGAAAAATAAAACCGCTCAATTTTAAGAGAGCTGCTCTCCAAGACTTAGACTGGGAAGGAATATTGGCATCAATGAGCACAACACAGAAATGGGAGTTCTTCAAAAAGACTGTATGTGAACACACTGCAAAATATATTCCCTTCGGCAACAAAGTTTAAAAGGCTAAAAATCAAACCTATGTGCTTACAGTCAAAGTTAAAAAAGCTATAGATAATAAGAAAAGAGCTTTTATTAAATATAAAAATGAAGGCACGCTATCATCGTTTAAACATTACAAAGAATATAACAGAATATGCAAAAAGGAAAAAAAGGCCACAAAAATTGAAAACGAACGACAGATTGCAACACATAGCAGGACCAACCCCAAAAAAATCTTCAAATATATTAATAGTAAAAAGGTTTGGTCTGAGCATGTAGGCCCTTTACAGAATAATCTAGAGTGGGTGACTGGGGACAAAGAGAAGGCACATTTATTAAATACCTTCTTCAGCTCTGTGTATACAAAGGAGCATGGGGGAGCTCTTGTCCATAATGGGCATGGTATTGACACAGCTCCAGATGATCCACATTGGCTCACAATTGATATGATCCAAAAATATTTAGACAGAATAAAGGTGAATAAAGCACCTGGACTGGAAGGCATACACCCACGGGTCCTTAAAGAATTGAGCTCTGTCATTTCAAAGCCATTGTTTCTAATTTTTAGGGACTCTTTAATGACTGGCATAGTACACTGGATTGGCGTAAGGCCAATGTGATGCCAATATTTAAAAAGGGGTCAAAATCTTTACCAAGTAATTATAGACCTGTTAGTTTAACTTCTATAGTTGGGAAGATATTGGAGAGTTTAATAAAAGACCACATAGATGAGTTCTTGCTGGAAAACGTTGTTTTAAGCAACAGACAGCATGGATTCATGAGAGACAGAAGTTGTCAAACAAATCTGATTTCTTTTTATGAGGGGGTGAGCAAAGCCTTGGACTGAGGGGTGGCGGTGGACGTGGTATACTTGGACAGAGGGGTGGCGGAGGACGTGGTATACTTGGACAGAAGGGTGGCGGTGGACATGGTATACTTGGACAGAGGGGTGGCGGTGGACGTGGTATACTTGGACAGAAGGGTGGCGGTGGACGTGGTATACTTGGACAGAGGGGTGGCGGTGGACGTGGTATACTTGGACAGAGGGGGCGGTGGACGTGGTATACTTGGACAGAGGGGTGGCGGTGGACGTGGTATACTTGGACAGAGAGGTGGCGGTGGACGTGGTATACTTGGACAGAGGAGTGGCGGTGGACGTGGTATACTTGGACAGAAGGGTGGCGGTGGACGTGGTATACTTGGACAGAGGGGTGGCGGTGGACGTGGTATACTTGGACAGAGGGGTGGCGTGTGGACGTGGTATACTTGGACAGAGGGGTGGCGGTGGATATGCTAATGTGAAAGGTAAAGTCTACAGGCTTGGAAAAATCCGTATGTAAATGGATAGAAAACTGGCTAAAAGATGGCATTCAGAGAGTAGTGGTTAATGATTCATACTCTGAATGGTCTAGGGTTGTCAGTGGTGTACCCAAGGTTCAGTGTTGGGAACCTTACTTTTTAATATATTTATAAACAATATAGGGTCTGGGATTAAAAATCCCATTTCAGTCTTTGCAGATGACACCAAGCTGTACAGTGGAATAACGTCCTTACAGGATGTCTCCAATTTACAAGCCGACCTCAATGCTCTGTGTAATTGGGCAACTATGTGGCAAATGAGGTTTAATGTTGATAAATGTAAGGTTCTGCACTTGGGGGCTAAGAATATGCATGCATCATACATACTAGGGGGGGTACAACTGGGGGAATCAATGGTGGAGAAGGATCTGGGGTTCTGGTAGATCACAAGCTTAATAATGACATGCAATGCCAAGCTGCGGCTTCTAAAGCGAGCAAAATCCTCTCTTGTATTAAAAGAGGTATAGACTCCAGAGAGAGAGATATCATTTCCCCGGTACAAATCATTAGTAAGATATGATCACCATGTATAATACATAAGGGGGGATATGATCACCATGTATAATACATAAGGGGGGATATGATCTCCATGTATAATACATAAGGGGGGATATGATCACCATGTATAATACATAAGGGGGGATATGATCACCATGTATAATACATAAGGGGGATATGATCTCCATGTATAATACATAAGGGGGGATATGATCTCCATGTATAATACATAAGGGGGGATATGATCTCCATGTATAATACATAAGGGGGGGATATGATCTCCATGTATAATACATAAGGGGGGATATGATCTCCATGTATAATACATAAGGGGGGATATGATCTCCATGTATAATACATAAGGGGGGATATGATCACCATGTATAATACATAAGGGGGGATATGATCACCATGTATAATACATAAGGGGGGATATGATCTCCATGTATAATACATAAGGGGGGATATGATCACCATGTATAATACATAAGGGGGGATATGATCTCCATGTATAATACATAAGGGGGGATATGATCTCCATGTATAATACATAAGGGGGGATATGATCTCCATGTATAATACATAAGGGGGGGGATATGATCTCCATGTATAATACATAAGGGGGGATATGATCTCCATGTATAATACATAAGGGGGGATATGATCTCCATGTATAATACATAGGGGGGGGGATATGATCTCCATGTATAATACATAGGGGGGGGGGGGGTATGATCTCCATGTATAATACATAAGGGGGGGATATGATCCCCATGTATAATACATAAGGGGGGATATGATCTCCATGTATAAATACATCAGTGTTTCATATAGTGAACTCGGTGTAGAGTTATTCCCCCTGAGGTCATCACAGAGGACAAGGGGGCACTCTTTACGTCTGGAGGAAAAGAAATGTAATCTCCAAACACGGAAAGGTTTCTTCACAGTGAGAGCTGTGAGAATGTGGAATAGACTCCCTCAAGAGTTGGTTCTGGCCAGCTCAGTGGATTGCTTTAAAAAGTCCTGGATTCTTTCTTGGATACACAGAATATAGCTGGATACTAACATTTATAGGTAAAATTGATCCAGGCAATATCCGATTGCCTCTCGGGGGATCAGGAAGGACATTTTTTCCTGCAGGAGAAAATTGGATCATGCCTTGCTGTGTTTTTTTTTTCCTTCCTCTGGATCAACTGTGGGTATATGATTATAACTTTTTTTTTTATAGTTTAACTGGATGGACTTTTGTTTTTTTTCAGCCAGACTAACTATGAGACTATGTAACCACCTTTACAAAAACTGAAGTTCTGTCTTCAACAGACTTATGTTTGTTAAAGCTGAATTCAAGGTAACAGACAAAGTCTGATCGAACAGATGAACACTGGCTGCCTTGGGAGCAAGGGACAAGGAGAATAAAAGTGCTTTTCAGTGTATTCCAGGCAAATACGAGCACTTCAGTCTTGCAGTGGGTGCTTCATTTTCCTGGAGTTAAAACTTTTAAAGTGGTAGTAAAGTCTAGATAGACACTTGTACCCAGGGGCGGACTGACAACTCATGGGGCCCCCGGGCAATAGGGGATCATGGGGCCCCTGTGTCCTTGCCCAAACTCAAAAAAGCCTATGAAAAAGGTACCAGGGGCGTCTCATGGGGCCCCCTACTGACCCCGGGCCCTCGGGCAGCTCCTGAATTTCCAAATGGTCAGTCCGCCCCTGGTTAAAGGTAAGCTTATAATAAGGCTTGCCTGTAGATAATGTGAATATTTTGTAAACTTGTGCTGTTTAGAAGATAGTCACTGTGGCTGCAGCCGGTGATGTAGCTGTGCTTTCAGTGTGCTGTCAATGCAGAGAGTGCTGTGCCACGATTGTGACTGCCATGCGTAGGAGTAACATCATTGCAGCCCAGCCATTCAAATGCGTGAACATTGAAGGAAGAAGAAGCGTCGCAGCAGTGACAGTGCATCGCTGCAGAGCTTCCATTAAGAGGTAAGTTTGTCATAATGTTCTAGTATGTGGTGCATATTTTTAGGGCTTAAACAACTAGTCAACATATTTAATTATAATCGACTATGTAAATAGTTATCAACTATGTTCATAATCAATTGGTTGGTTAGCCGATTAGTTGGCCTGCATACAGAATGCATTATTTGTTTACATATCAGAAATACAGTGCAGCACACATACAGCTCAGTACGCCGTCCACACATGTCAGCATACACGGCGCTGCACACCTACAGCTCAGTACACCGTCTAGAGATGTCAGCATACACGGCGCAGCACACCTACAGCTCAGAACGCCGTCCTTACATGTCAGCATACACGGCACAGCACACATACAGCTCAGTACGCCATCCGTACATGTCAGCATACACGGCGCTGCACACCTACAGCTCAGTACACCGTCTAGAGATGTCAGCATACACGGCGCAGCACACCTACAGCTCAGAACGCCGTCCTTACATGTCAGCATACACGGCACAGCACACATACAGCTCAGTACGCCATCCGTACATGTCAGCATACACGGCGCAGCACACCTACAGCTCAGTACGCCGTCCATACATGTCAGCATACACGGCGCTGCACACCTACAGCTCAGTACACCGTCTAGAGATGTCAGCATACACGGCGCAGCACACCTACAGCTCAGAACGCCGTCCTTACATGTCAGCATACACGGCACAGCACACATACAGCTCAGTACGCCATCCGTACATGTCAGCATACACGGCGCAGCACACCTACAGCTCAGTACGCCGTCCATACATGTCAGCATACACGGCGCAGCACACCTACAGCTCAGTACGCCGTCCGTACATGTCAGCATACACGGCGCAGCACACCTACAGCTCAGTACACCGTCCATACATGTCAGCATACACGGTGCAGCACACCTACAGCTCAGAACGCCATCCATACATGTCAGCATACGCGGCGCAGCACACCTAGAGTTCAGTACGCCGTCCATACATGTCAGCATAAGCGGCGCAGCACACCTACAGCTCAGTAAGCCCTCCATACATGTCAGCATACGCGGCGCAGCACACCTACAGCTCAGTACGCCCTCCATACATGTCAGCATACGCGGCGCAGCACACCTACAGCTCAGTACGCCCTCCATACATGTCAGCATACGCGGCGCAGTACACCTACAGCTCAGTACGCCATCCATACATGTCAGCATACGCGGCGCAGCACACCTACAGCTCAGTACGCCGTCCATACATGTCAGCATACACGGTGCAGCACACCTACAGCTGTTTTTGTATTATAAACGCCTAATTTTTTCTTTGACCGCATCATGACAGGTGAATAAAAAAACATGCTGCTGCTACTGAATATTTTATGATGGCCACACACGTATCGATTTTTGGAAGAGATTACAAAATTATTTGTACATTTGATAAATGGATGAATGTCATCTATTTGACCCAACAATGAGAAAAATGAATGAACGTTCCTAAAATGAACATTTTCGAAGGAAAAATTTGTGTATTGACAGCATAAGTGACAATCTGCAAAACAATCTTTGATCTTTGAGTCTGATGATATGTACCAGATTCAACCTCCAACAGTATATATCTCTTCTGTCTGTTATGCTCAGAGTGGATTAGATATTTTGTTCCCCAACCATATAGCTGGTTGTTTATATGAATCACTGCATACAGATATTGAATAATAAAGAAGACATTGAAGAATAATGAAGAACATTGAAGAATGTTTATATTTTTAAACTTTACATAATAACTAAATTATATTCCAAACTTTTTTGAGGTTTTTATCCAATTAATCGAACCAATAATCAGCCAATTAATTGATCAGGAAAATAATGGTTATTTGCAGCCCTACATATATTATCACATTAAGGCATGAGCCTGCAAGGGGACCTTCGAAACAAATGTCTTTTGAAGGCTCTGTGACCATATCAGACTGTACCAGCAGATGGCAGTGCAGATATTTGTAATTACAGCATCAGAGGAGCATAGAGGATATCATTCAATGGTACATATACCCCTGGGAATATTTCTGGCAGGCTCAAGGGGCAGCTTCTACTAGCTACAAAACACTTAAAGTTCTGATAAATAATAATTAACATTTTAAACAAAGCTGAATAAGTCATTTTACTTTAAATGCAATTCCGGGCAACAAGCAAGCATTTAACAGGCTATAAATGCTATCCAATAAACACAAATCTTAAAGTGTTACTAAACCCACAACAGTAAAATCAGTCTCTATATGCAGTACAGCATGCTTATGGCACTGTGTAAAAACGCTGTTTGATCCTGTCTTCTCTGATCCTTCCATTCTTCCAGTGTCCCCATGTTATCTCCTGATAAGACATATGGTGTGGAGACACTCTGCAAATGCTCAGTTTGGTGTGTATTGCTAGAGAGGTTTTTTTTTCTTAGGAGGGTACATGTGATCAGCACAGGGCCAATCATCAATGCCCAGATAGAGGGTCAGGGGTTCTGCATCCTCCTACAGCAGAATGAAATCTCCTCCTACAAGCTTTAACATGTGCTCTGCTGAACACTTATAGAAGTCACAAGACTGCTCTAACTGCTGATGAAAA